ATATTTTTTAAGTATACAAATCTAATAATAAACTCAAGTAGTAAACAAATATAAGATTGCAATTTGGATAAAAAATAAAATAAATAATAAAATAATTTAATTTATGTGTGGATATTTATGGATATTTTATAATAATAAATTATATGCCGAGAAAAACTTACGGAATAAAAATTTATGATATATTTAATTTACGAAGGAGTAAGGGCTTTTAAATTTCTATTAAATAATTAAATAAAGAGTATTTTTTCAAAATTAATTCTTTAAAAAGATTTTTTATTTTAAAATCTTAAATGTTTATATTTAATATAAATTTATTTTATATGACACTCACATTTTTACAATTGCAAGGTTAACCTGTGCTTATACGCCAAAGCCATTCAGTAGTATATTGACTTCCGACGTAGACACATTACAAGCGAGAAGATTGAACGATATGCATCGAACTTCTGCATCCTTTCTAGTGGTCATCTCGGAATATTTTTCGGTTATAATTAATATAAAATAATTTAATTATGTGATCAGTGTCGATGCAAGTTATAATATTTTATATTCCAAGAAAAATTTACGAAATAAAGAGTAAAGGTTTATAAATTTCTATTAAATACTTAGAGTATTTTCTCAAAATTAATTCCTTAAAGGGATTCTTCATTTTAACATCTTAAATGTATTTAATATAAAATTATTTTAAAATTTATATTAATTTAATATAAAATTAATATAAAATCATTTGAATCATGTTTCTGCATGTCTTTTACCATTACAGTTATTTATCTGTATTCAGACATCAAGGTTAATAATTTTTCAAAATTATATTAATTTCGAGTATTGTTAGGTCAAAAGCCATCAGTGAACATGTTACGTATGTACATCTATGCATATTTAAACATATGTAGGTATATTCATATGTATATATATATATATATATATCTTAAAATATTCCTATGTATTGAATTAATATGGCTGGGTTTCTATCGCAATATACACTTGGTATTATTTATATCAAGTGAATAAATGGCTTAGGTAGTAACAGGAAACTGTGATATAGAAATTTTTCTTGTTTTTTTATATCGTTTTATAACTATACTCATATTTATTTTAATATTTTCTCTCATTCTGAAAAAGGATTTTTTATTCAAATTAAGGAACGTAAAGAAATTGGAGAAGTAGAAAAATATATGTTTAGTTGGGAAAAGACAAGTCCAACATTTTTTTAAAGAGATGATAAACTCGTCTGTATTATCGTAATTTTTGTATTGTTGTACAAATTTAATTTTTTATTAATTTTATAGATTTGGAAATCCTTTTCCACAATTAAAGTTTATGCATTAATATAGTGTAGCATATGAATTTTATTATATCAAAAACGAGAAAACGAGAAACATTTTTATAATTTAGATTTTTTTTTTACCATTTGGTATTTTAATATGGCGTTCAAAACTATCACAAGTCGCATTAATATTTGCTTTATATAAAAATTTTACAGCCTGTAAATCTATAAAACTGATATTAGTAAATTAGAAGATTACATGAAGAAACGAGATTGAGTTCTTCGAATTGAACTAGGTATCTAATGTGATAAAAAAATTTGTTCATATGTATGCAGAAATGTATGTATGAATATACGTATGTATTATAAATATATCTATATCTGTAATATATCTGTATGTTAGACGTGCATGTATGTATGGACGAAATTTCCAACATCTGTGACGTCCATCATGGAGGTTTATATATTTTTATATAATCTCTATTAAACATCTATAAAAGTTTCTTTAGAAGATATTTATTAGAGATTCATAATTCTACTCTCTTTGCAATCTCCATTAGATCTCCATTAGATCTGCATTTCATGCCTCCATTAGATCTCCATTAGATCTGCATTATAAATATCTTGTGGAGGTTGTATGGATCAATTATGGGTGCTTTATAATAATTAATAGACATTAATTGGAAACTTTATAAGAAGTTAAAAAATTATTAAATATATCAATTAAATATATCAATTATTTTTTGAAATTGCTATCATAACTGAAATATTAAAATTAATATTGATGTTGTATGTAGTCACAAAAGTTAATGAAAACAATTTTACAATACTGAACAAAAATAAATTTTTTTGAAAGTATGAAGCACGTACATATGTAATGTAATGGGAAAAACTAATGAATAATTCTTATCTTGTAGAGTCGGTAATGTCGCACAATGTTTCCTAACGGTCATCTATCCTTTTAGTACTGCGTTTAATGTTGATTCACCTTTTTTTGTGATCGATTAAAACCTGCTGCTAGAATAATAATATAAACTTAAAATCTTAATATATAAATACGACAGATGATTAGATCAGTATTATATTGTCTTATGCTTCAAATAGTTTCAATGTCTCAATTACTTATGCAATATCTATGGATAATTTAATTACATATAAAGAACTGTGGAGATTATATGGATTTCTAATACCATGCATATTTCGTGTTTCGAAAATTGCGTACAACTTTATATATATGCTATTTACTAATTTATTTATTTAATAGTGATCGCATTAAAAATGAGAGATATTTCTCTAATTCAACGAAGAAATACTTGAGTTTATCTAGTGCAATCATTGCACAATTAAATACAAATAAATAAGATATACGCAAGAAACTTATAAACAATTTTTTAATTTCTTAATTTTTATGATTATAATGATCATCTAAAATCTTCAGTTAAACTTCATAGATAAACCATGAAAATTTCAGGAAACATCTACGATCTTTATCTATACCAATGAGACACCTATGTAAACATCTAACATAGGTCTGAAGGTTCATTGAAGTTTCATCATAAAGGTAATACGGATCTCTCAAATTCTTTATTAAAAATTTATCTGATTTTCATCATAGAGATAGATGTCGCATGGAGGCTGTGTGAAGGTTGTATGAACTTCTAATGAAGTTCATATAACCTTCACACAGCCTCCATGCGAAACATCAAGTTCCGTGTGGAAATAATATGAACGTTAATTTTAATTTAGAAGATTTTATTGGCAGATTAAACTCCGATTAATTGGCGACTTATCTATGAAGTAATATTTACATTTTATCAAGATGGATAGAATCATCATTGTTTTTTTGTTTCAACATATAGAAAAAGAATTAGATCAAGAACGTTAAATTATGTAATCAAAAATTACATTATCCGCCAATCCGCGCAAATTAAAATGTTCTCGATTTAACTCCAATTAAATTAATTGACTGTCAGTTATCCGGCATAATTGCTTACGACATGATTTTTGTTGACATGACATTTGTTGTTCGTAATTTCATCATCTTTTTATACATATTAAATATTAAAAAATAAATAATTTTATTTAGCCAACAAAGAGTGTCATTCAAAAAGTTTATTAAGATTTGATTAAAATTACTCCTTTGCATAGAATTTTTCATAGAACGAAGAAATGCTCTTTCTTCAGAGCGACATTCCATTCTGTGGCTATAATTATTTCGCGCTTACGTGTTGGGGAACACGCTCTCAGAGACGAGGGAACTGTCGTTTCTATGATATCCAAATATACCCTGAAACCTGCACAGATTTTCTTCTCTCTTTCTCTTTCTCTGTCTCTCCCTTTCTGTAGATCAAACTACCTAAAAAAAGGAATGAGCGAGCTTCTTAGAATGCCTAGACCATTACACGAAACTCGAAATAACACGCGACAGTCGGCCCTTGCTCTAGATTTTTATGTCTCTGTTTCAGATTTAACCGTAACCGCGCTTTATCCGCGTCTTGCATCTCTAAAAATCCCGTTACGTTGAATACTCCTTGTGGTACGATTTGCAGCATTAATAAATATAAGAATTTGCCACATGTACAATAACGTGCAGTTTTTATAACGTTTTTATAAATATTAATCTTGGATAAAAATGTTTTAATAAACAAAATATTTTTATATGATAAAGTAAATAGATCAAGGAATCTCGAGATAAAAAAAAATCTTATATGTGAATCCTATATAACACTTATTCTGTTTATATCATTTTAACGAGATATTTTTACGAGACATTCTTTTTTGATTATAAAGAAATCTAAGGTAATATATATAATGTCTATCATACGTATATCTAAAAGATGTTCTTTCCTTGAAATCTATATCTTGTATTTGCGACGTGGGAATTTCCAGATTTCCTCGTGGGAATGTGTTGACCTAAGCGATATCGTCTCCTTGTGATTTTTTGCGCCGTTAATAATAACGTCAGTTGATCGGCACGGGAAATAAAAGAAAGAGAGAGCTCCGAATTTCGAATATATACTTCTTTTTTTATTAAAAATAATTGTAGTTTTTACATACAGGAATATAACAATAATGACAACATCGTTATGTCATTAATAATCGTGACTGTAATACATTCATATAATTTTAATGTAAGATAACTATGTACACAGGAGAGGGGATATTATACATTCCGTGATAGAAGCAATCTTACATTAGTAAATGAACACTGATCCAACAATTAACGTTCATCATCGATAAACATATTGTCCTGGATCTTTTTTGCTACACTAATATAAATCCATTTATATATATATATATATATATATATAATAAATGGCCCAATATCTCAGCTGATTAGGGTATCGCGCTAATAACGCATACGTCTACCGCTATAAGCCGCTATAAGTAGAAATCGAAAATTTGACTTTTACTTTTCTTCGACCTAAAATGTATTTTGTACATTTCACGCGCTAATTTCGCGTCCATCTTATGATCTATGATTTACAATAAAATCTTTATTCATGACTATTTATTCATCGAACGCAGATTGAGTGTATTTTTCTGTATTTACATTATAAAATATCTTGTGAAACGCAAATATTTCTTCTTTCCCACATAGTCACATATTCCAGAACAATTACATTTATCTCGTGTGAAATATGGATTGTCCTTTGTTATTATTTTTACAATATTTTACACTTCAGAAATATGCTTCAGAATATTACGTCTATCTGTATAAGGCGTATAAGGAAAAAAAACTACTAGGACTTATCTTTACATTAATATGTCGTTGCTTCGTTCGTTAATCGAATATTCGTTATTATCGCGTAATTCTAAGTTCGTTTCTAAGATCTTCGATTTTGCATCTCTTTTATTCGTTTATTCGTTTATCCTTCGGTATAAATTGCCGCAATTTAAAAAGTATACATCTAACTGCATTATAAATGTAATCGACTAAAACTAATCGACTCAATATATGTATATCTCTAAAATTGCGCTTTATATATAAAGTAAGTCGAAGCTAAATTTCTGACATTCCAGTTTTTATCTATTCAATTAGCATTTTTTTTCCTCTTTTTATTATTCACCTTAATCCAATTCTATGAATTAAAATGACCAATTCTATGAATTAAATGAATTAAAATGAAATGTTATAAATATATCGTTAAAATTTGCGACTATGTAGTTTGACTCGCTGAACAAATAATAATTATTGTCAAATATTCAAATAATAATTATGTGAATTCACCTGAATTCTCTCTCATTTTGTTAATTAATATAATTTCATAAATGCATTAAAAATCAAGTTGAACTTTAACGTTGTCTATAATGTAATGTGAAATCATCTTCTGCGAGTAATTTTTATTTTTATAAAATTTTCTAATTTTGTATTAATTAAAGTTATCCTCTTTAAAATCATTTCGTAATCATTTTAATACAATACTCGGGACACACATCCTTAATACGCATGTGCACATTATACATATAGCTTGCGTTTCTTTTCTATCATTTTCTCGTTCAACAATCTGACCCCCATACAGCAGTCTGAATTCGTTCGAATGAAATAATCGAATATTTATTATATCGGTGGGTACTTCAGACCTTCACTTGGACCGCGTTCTGCATCTTAACACAGAAGTAACTCGCCTCTCCGTTATAATTCTCGTCATCGCTACTATCGCTAATATTATTCTCAGAACTGCCCTCGGAATCTGAATCCGGTAGCGGTTCCGGCTTCGCGCCATATCGCAACAGTTCCCTAGCGAGCTGGGTATCGATGCACAATGCCAGCTGGTAGGCCGTCATGCCGTTGTACATCTGTACATCTAGACAGGGCTTGCACTCCTGGAGCAGAAAGTTAACTACCGACCGACATCCATGTTCCATTGCGAGATGAAGCGCCGTTCTTCCGGCCAGCGCCTCCCTCGCCTCGAGATCGGCGCCGAGACGCAGCAAAAGACGCACCAGATTCACGTGTCCATTAGCAGCTGCCAGGTGCAAGCACATTTCACCTGTAATCAAATCAAGAAGAATCGAAAATCAAGCAATCGTACGATCTGTGCACGATGAAGGTATGTTAGATACATGAGTATTCTCTTACATCTTTTTTTTTTAGCTATTATGGCTTAATCAGCCGTAGTATAGAAAAAAATTGTTTATAAAGATTGTTTCAATTATTCAAAGCAATTAATATCAAGAAAGAAATACTCGGTAAAGAATTTTTGTGCCGTTCATTAATCTTTCTTTTTAAATTATGATATGTATAGACTTACGATAATTATTATTTATTTATTTATTTAATATCAATGATGAAATTTATATGCATGGCATTTTTTATATCTACGTGCGTTTTATGTAGCATGTCGCCGATTTCTCAAATTGGATCAGTTAGTCGACTTGCATTTAATTTCTCAAATCTCCCATCAACTCCCTTGAAGAATTAGATAGGTACACCGGAATTAGATAGGTACACGTAGGGATGTGCACGTCGGAACGACGGCACCAAGTGTCACATGCTCGTCGACTCGTCGTGAGATATAGATAGAACTAGGAAGACATACGGTGAATCATTGTCGCGTCGGAGATTTCGCTGGCGTCCCGCGATCCAAACTAGGCCCGCGCCGATCGAGGTAACTTCTAAAATTAACGGCGCCGCATCGTTACCAATTGCATCGGTGGAATTTTGGACGACATACTTGTGCAAATCATGCCGCAAATCATGTCGATATCGCTTCATCTCCAAAGGCAGAAATAGAAATACTAATGTAACCGATCATCGCGGACACTCGTGCGTAAACACGTACGGTGACACGTATACGAGCTGCACTATCGTTACTGTTTTTATCGTGCTACAACTGCGTAGAATCGATTGCAGTAGAAGTTGAATGGAATTAATAGTCAATAGTAACTATCTATATATATATATATATATATATATATATATATATAAT